CCCCAAAACCCCAAAACCCCAAAACCTCCATACAGATTATTATTGGCATAAGTAAGAATTATGAGAGTAAATATAATTAGTAAAGCAACATTTGTAAATGTTTTATCTAAGAATTAGTTATCTTTTGATACTTTATTGTAATTTATGTTCACTTAATGAGAGATATACTCATATGTCTATCCCTTGGAGTATTTGAAATGCTTGGGTAATCACTCGTGATAAGGGTCTCTTCCTTTTCAGTCATCTACCTCAATGAAAAAGAGGACAAAGTTCCGATGAAACAGGCAGCTAAGAGTGTATACATTGGAATGCTTTTGTCCTCCACCTCTGCAATAATTGGTGCAAACAGAGTAACTGATCGACAGAAAAAGTTGCATATTCCATAGCTTGTTGCAAGGAAATTGGGAGGAAATAACTAGGTATGAATGACGAATACTAGGCAAAAAGCCAAGTTAACACCACATCTTATCAGCAGTATAAAAATTGATAGGCCATCCTCGGGAGAGATTCCTAGTTACATGAAAACTACCATTGTTAAGGATGCCAGAGTTGCAATTAAGAATGATAGAGTTAGTGTTATTTTGTTATCAAGCTTTCTTGAGATCGGTCCAGCAAAAAGAAATGCAAATGCAGAGAGGCCTGATACAGATTAGTTCTCATATATGTCACCAGGAAGATATTTTATGAAGAAGCTTATCATGAAATAGCTGAAGCTTACACAAGTCCAAGAAATGGTCATTAGGACAAGATTATAAGCAATGTTTTTAGCACCCTTTAGTCTCTCAATCGAATTCTTATTCCATGTGTTGTTTAGTTGCTAGTCAATAACTACCTTGGTCCTTTGTTAAAGCTCATAGATTTTTAATAGTGCAAATGTTTTTGCAATTTACTAATCGCTGAGACCTCCTAGAGATTTTACTCTTTAAATGGCTTTTTCAAATGCAATGTACTTTTAGTTTTGAATGAGATATTTTGTAGATTCTGGAATTCTTGTGATCAAGAAAAGCACAAGAGATACGACATTGAATAAGAGTGCAATAAACAAGAGCATATTCAGATCCTAACTTATTAAGTGTATCAGGAATGGTGTGATCACTATAACAAGTCCGTCAAGGAACATAAAGACTCCTGATATTTTGGATTCTCTACCAGGCAGAAATTCCATAAGATGGGTATATGCTATCATAGACTTGACCGGCTAGGCAAATCCCAAAGAGAAGATCATTATTAGCTGAATCTCAATGCTTTTATCAAGTAGCATGATGGAAATTACTATTAATTAAGACAGTCCGCCCATTAAAAAGAGATCCTTGCGCCCATACTTGTCTGAAAGGGGAGGAAATATGAGGCAAGATATTAGAAATCCTGCAAAGTACAGAGATCCAAACATACCGATTTTGTAATTATCAGCGCAATGCAAGTTCAGCCAAGTAATCCAGTTTTTTAAGCTGTGAGTGCTGTCCCATTAGATATCCCACTTTATTAGTTTGTGATTTTTGTTTTGCTCAGTTATCTCAATTGAATTGACTTAATTAATACTTTTATCCCCCATGCAAACTTGATTAGGGCTATCTGCAGAGCAAATTTGCTCCTTAGTACACTCAGAGGTGTATAGAAATTCAGGGGACGAAGGATCTGTGAAAGTGCATTTGTATCTTGGGCTCATTTGAAAGTATGCGAAGTTATACACAATAAATGAGGTCGATACATAGAGAAGCAAATGTATTAAGATAAGTATATAGTGGAATCGGCAGTGTGGAATAGATCTTTGGATCTCATCTATAGATACCTCTCGGCCCATACTTATGGAGATCATCTGTTGTTAGGTAAATAATGTGCTGGGCTGGTCACTCGTTAGAAGAGGTGATGTTGGCCGACTACTTTCTAAATATTATCCTCTGGATTGGGTGGTTCTCATCTTTATGAAGACTTTTTCTCTTTAGTTAGTTTTAATATTTTCACTTTTAATTCTTACTATCATGCAAACATTAATAAGATTTAATAACTTTTTTCTAAATTACTAATCTTTCCATCTACCTGTTATTATCTTTATTAATACTCCTGGGGTTTTGGGGAATCAGGTACTGGCTTTCTG